CTTACTATCAGACACACTTCATCTAAATCTGGTATTCAATAAGTAAACAACTCCGGTGATACATTGGATCATTAAACTCGTGTTCTTTATTTGATCTATCACTTGCTTACTCTATCACTCATCTTCCAACTCTCACTTCTCCCTGCTCTCCAGATTCGTAGTCCGTCCGCCTTCTTTCCTATTTATACCACTGGTCAGATGGATGGTCGTGTCTGGGTGTCAGACGGCCGTAATTGGTCAGGCGTTTGATCCTTGGGTCCGTCGTGCTCCACAAGCTTGATCCTTCGGTCAGACGGATTACGTCAGGCGCCGTCGTGGTCCAGCGCTCGTGCGTGGTCCGACTCTCCACAAGCTTGGGTGGTCAGCGAACTCTCCACAATACTTAAGGCTTACGAATGTTTCCTCGACGCATACCGTAACAAGTTAAGGGAGTTGTTGAAAAATACTTTTTTTCTGAACAAAAGTCTAGTTTTTCAGACTCTAGCCAAAGTTCCTGCCTTGACTTCAATTTTTATACGCTTTTCATCACTATCCTTTTGCCCCAGTCTCCAGAGGGCGCTCTACCAAGGATCTTAGCGGCAGTTTTGATGACTCTACCCAGAATTTTACTTTCTCTACCCTAGGCAATTTTTTTCAAATCTCTGGCAAGAGTTTTCCTACCAAGGTCCAAACTTCTTCATCAGAAATTATCGATGTTCATTAATGGGTGGAATTGTGCTTAATATCAAAGACCTATCAAGACTTTACGAGACACGGGTGCTTCACAGTTCTTTCTACTTGATTGTTTACTGTCTGAGACTTCTGCTGCTGGGAGAAAATCAATGTTACGTGTTCTAGACCTGGGTTGCATTGATGAACAACTAAATCTTTATCTCCGGACCTGTGGTTGCATTGATGTACCACTAAATCTTATCTAAGAACCGGTGGTTGCATTTATGTACCACTACATCTTATTGACCTCAAAACCGATCTTATCTCAGGACCTGTGAATGTAGATGTCCGACCAACGTTAACATCGGGCGGCATCTTGTTACTTCTGGGAAATGACTTGGCTCAGCTCGTGGGAAGGCAAAACCCGAACCCATCGTTACTCGTAAAACATGTTTGACTGAATCTCAATATGAAGATCCAGAGTTATATTCAGCATATGCTGTTGCCATGGCCATAAGCTCAAAGATCTCTGATTTACTCTAAATTTAACAAAACTTAAACCTAAAATTGATCTGGGCAAAACATTTTTAGCAAGCCCCAAAGAAGAGTCAAATAGTCACAACAAGCAAAAGATGGATTCAGAAATATCTAAACTTTGAGAGACCGCATTGACCCAAAAGAAGTTGAACGTGTTCCTGTATGCTACTATTTACAAGATGACCAACTTATCAGAAAATGGCAACCTACAGACGCAGCAGCTATTGAAGAATGGTTAGTGTTATTCATCAAATAGTAGTTCCTACCCCATTAATGGAGGGTAATTCATCAAATAGTAGTTCCTACCCCATTGTGGAATGACATCCTGAACTTAGCCCATGACTCAACACTTGAAGGCCATTTGGGAGTAAACAAGACTTGTTACAAAAAAACGTCGCCCTTCTTTGGCCCAAACTCAAGAAAGATGTTGTTGACTGCTGCAGATCCTGTCTGGTAGTAGGCAAACCACATCAAAAGATACCAGCAGCTCCTCTTCAACATTTTCCAGCATTTGATGAAACGCTCGGATGAGTTATAATAGTCTGTGTTGGACCTCTGCCAAAGACAAAATCAGGTCAAAAAAACTTGCTGACAATCATGTCTTAGTCAACACGGTTTCCAGAAGCTTCTCCTCTTCGCAATAACGAGACTCCGCTACTGTTCGCCGCGAGAGAAGCAGTTCGAAAATTCCTTGGAATTATCCCCATTGAACAGTTGTTTGGCCACCTGGTTTCAACAAATACGTCAATGGTACGAACACAGTGACACAATTGGCGATTATGCATATAAAAAAAACTACACAACTTGAATATATAACTTTGACAACATTGTCAGCAAATGATAGTTTTAGATATTGTAAGGAAACCTTGCTTACTCTCTAGCTAACTTCATCTAGATCTGGTACTCAATAAGGAAACAACTCCGGTGATACATTTGATTATTAAACTCGTGTTCTTTATTGGGCTGTCACTTTGCTTACACTTTCACTCATCTCACAGCTCTGACTTCTCCCTGCTATCTAGTTCTCAGTCCGGCCGCCTTCTTTTTCGTCCCGTCCAGAGATCCCTATTTATACCTCCCTGTCCCATAGTTCCTCTCCCAGGTCCAGGCGCATTATATCCCGCCCCTTTTTCCCAATCGGCGCCAGGTTACAAACAGACCCCAGGGAAATGTCCTGGTCAGATGGATGGCCGGTACCGCCCCCAGCGCTTGATCCTTCGGTCGTGATCCCAGGTCAGATGGCGCCGGCTGTACATGGTCAGACGGCTGTAATCCCTGGTCAGACGGTTACGTCAGACGCCCCCGGCGCCTTCGTGGTCCGAACTCTCCACAATATGTAGACAAAGATATTGCATTACTTTATCTTGAAATTATGTAACTGTTTATTTTGTAATGTTTCAACAATTTTTGTGAACTAGTTTGTGTGAAAGAAATATATGTTTATTATTCTTTTGTTAACTGGTCTTTAATTGACAATTGTTTTTTTTTTTTTTTTCAAAATGTAAATTTTCTTTTTTCAAAGAGGGAAAGTGTTACGGCGTATGCGTAGCCCTAAATTTAGCCACCACCATTTGTCTCCCCCTTTTTTTTTTGCTTTTATATTGGCATCACTGATGAAATTTCCTTTGTCACTCCTTACGCATCCCTCCCTTGATTGGGAAAAGGTTAATTAAGTTCAAATGTGTTCTATTTATTCTAAAGATCGATATCAGGTGACGTTATTTCTAGAAATTTCTTTATTAGAAGGTTCTGATTTAATCCTTATATAGTTATAGGACGGCTGCTTTCCCAAACATTGGGAGATTTGTTGGGTTCTTTTCTATATATTTTCTAACATTATAGACGTTCTATACGTGCCACATTGTTTTCCTTCTTTGTGTGTGTCAATCAATGTTTGTCTTTGTCGAGGTTGTACCTCTTGAGATGCTGTGCGGTAAGCTGATATAGTTTGTTTTTGTTTGTTCCTGTATTTCAATATGCTTTTTTTTTTAATAGAAATATAACAGTATAATTCAACTGAATATCGTTAGTATCACTAGTTTTGGTATCGTTCTCTTTGCATATTTTTTTTTCTCATTCCTTTGTAGCGTAGTGTTCACTCTACGAGACAAATCTTCAAATAGATTAAATTGTCAAAGCCATTTAATGGTACGTAACATTTTACGTATCAACTCCTTACACCATGAACATAACCTATACATTCATTTCTATTTGCTGCCAAGCACTTGTATTTGTCATTTTATGCTCTGCAGTTGAGCCTTCACGTGGCTCTGGGATCCCTGTGGCTCCATGGGCCCTCGGACCCCCTATTTAGGAGCTCAAAGTTGTGAAGTGGCGAAAAATTAAACTATTTCCTTTCAACGAAATTTGCTAGAGGGCCTGTCAAAGGTAGGCGAAGGCTTTGACCTGCAGGCATGCGTTTGTTCCATGGCCAGTTGGATAGCAATCAGGTCGCGGTCTCTAACTGTTGTACATGTTCAGTCAGTCAGATACCGCCATCATCGATCCGGCTTCAGCGAGCTGTTTCTACTTTTGTTTCAATGCAACGGTTTTTTGTTCTACTTGTCATTGTGTCGGTTAAATTGAAATCTGATTTCTCTGCCAGTTTCCAGGTCGAATGCTTAAGTTGGGACATAGGGAGGTTGGTTTGTTAGCTCAATGATGGGTCTTAAAATAAACATTAATAGTTCATTGTTTCTATTTACAGATATTGGTCCCGATGTGCATCAATGGTAAGTCCAACTAGTTCGTCAACATTCTAGCAAGACATCTATGAGATGACCTTCGATACAGTTGAACTTAATCAACCATAACGAAATAAATCATTAGACTAATGAGACCAATATTATACTTATTTTAGATAAAGATAAAAAATTCTTATTTGTTAAAATTAAACTTATAATCAAAGATTATTTTGATCATACAAAGATTATACTTATAAGAAAATTATCAATAAATTGATCATGGGCCCTTAAGATATAGAAGAAGAAGAAGAAGAAAATATACTTATGATTCAAAAATTCAAATAAAAGACAACTATAGGCTTAATATACCAGCGTAATGAAGGAAGCAGACATCACAATGTGACTATGGTGTAGACAAAACAATGTGACTATTGTTTAGACATCACAATGTGACTATGGTGTAGACAAAACAATGTAACTATTGTTTAGACATCACAATGTGACTATGGTGTAGACATTACAATGTGACTATGGTGTAGACATTGCAATGTGACTATGGTGTAGACATCACAATGTGACTATGGTGTAGACATTGCAATGTGACTATGGTGTAGACATTGCAATGTGACTATGGTGTAGACATTACAATGTGACTATGGTGTAGACATTGCAATGTGACTATGGTGTAGACATCACAATGTGACTATTGTGTAGACATTACAATGTGACTATGATGTAGACGTCACAATGTGACTATGGTGTAGGTATCACAATGTGACTAAAATATATACGACACAATGTGACTATGGTGCAGACTTCACAATATGACTTAAATTAGACGTCACAATGTGACTATGGTGTAGACATCACAATGTGACTAAAATATATACGACACAATGTGACTATGGTGCAGACATCACAATATGACTTAAATGTAGACGTCACAATGTGACTATGGTGTAGGCATCACAATGTGACTATTGTATATCCCAATCCTTCAGTGATGATACAAAGTTGGAATTAAGTATCCCAATACCGTTAAGGGTCTCAGATTTTCGCCTCAGGACCCCGATCCAATTAGTGGTCTCAAATTTCGCCAATACTGACGTTAAAATGGTGTTGTTTCAGCTGTGGCGTCAAGTCCCTACGTTGGATGCTACCACGAGAGCATACGACAGCGTCACTTCTCCGTGAGTCCCGGCAGTTACAACCCAGACAAGATGACACCCAACTACTGCCGAGAAAGGTGCGGCACCTTCGACTATGGTTATGCCGCAGTTGCCCACGGTATGACATTGTCGGATTTTTTTTTATACCAGTGTAAGACTGAAAGTCTTTTAATGGTCTTCTAAAACGTTTCATAAAATCTTTTGAAAGTCTTTTAAAAGTTTTTTAAATAGCCTTCTGAAAGTCTTCTAAAAGTCTTCAAAAAGTCTACCAAAAGTCTTCTAAAAGTCTTCTGAAAGTCTTCTAAAAGTCTACCAAAAGTCTTCTAAAAGTCTTTAGACAATATAAGTATACTGAATGGCACATTTTTTAACAAATCCTTTTTTGTGTTGTAAATACCAATTTATATTGCAACCAAAAATATATTCTTAATTTGTAAAATCTGAATCAACTCTTATTTTGTTGAAAAGTTTCAAGTTAAAAAATCCCTTTTTTTTGTTCAAAGAGAGTAATAACGTGGTTTCCTTCAGGAAAGAGCTGTCGGTCAAAGTGATCTCAAGACGGAGACAACACCAGCTCTCTGTTACCACAAAGAAATCATTGGATTCCGACTCCAATGTCCCTTTTCTTTGTTTGATAAATGGTGCATTCAATGGCGTCACATCACTGGAAGATTTCCGGAAACTATTCCGTGTAAATTAAATACCAGATTAATTGAATATTTATTGAAATAGATCGATGGTTAACAGCAATTGATCTCATAAAGCAAAAGATTACAATGATGATTTAATATCCCAATCGACGTCATAGGTCAACGCAATCTTGATTGATTGTATGTCAACCTGGGCACACAACCATGCCTCCCCTTATTTAAGCTCAGGGCTACGAGGCTTGTGAATCAAATCTTGTCATTTGTGAATTATGTGATGCTTAAGATAATATTGCCACAGTATAGTACTGACTTTTAACTATTTTAAATGTTCAGGAAAATTCTGCTTCTGTTCCAAAACACTTCCTGATGGAATAACACCAGATTCTAACGCGCTGTGCAACATGTCCTGTATAGCACTGACCACACAGTTTTGTGGGGGGCCACAACACGTAGGTGTGTTTGAGTCCATCACGCCACTGACTGGACTGCAGGTAAGTAACATTGAACGCTGGGTACGCCATCAACTCATATTGTCCTGTCTGTTAACATGTCTGGGTTAGCAATCAACTCATATTGTCCTGTCTGTTAACATGTCTGGGTTAGCAATCAACGCATATTGTCATGTCTGTTAACATGTCTGGGTTAGCAATCAACGCATATTGTCATGTCTGTTAACATGTCTGGGTTAGCAATCAACTCATATTGTCATGTCTGTTAACATGTCTGGGTTAGCAATCAACTCATATTGTCCTGTGTGTTAACATGTCTGGGTTAGCAATCAACTCATATTGTCCTGTGTGTTAACATGTATGGGCTAGCAATCAACTCATATTGTCATGTCTGTTAACATGTCTGGGTTAGCAATCAACTCATATTGTCCTGTGTGTTAACATGTCTGGGTTAGCAATCAACTCATATTGTCCTGTGTGTTAACATGTCTGGGTTAGCAATCAACTCATATTGTCATGTCTGTTAACATGTCTGGGTTAGCAATCACTCATATTGTCCTGTGTGTTAACATGTCTGGGTTAGCAATCAACTCATATTGTCCTGTCTGTTAACATGTCTGGGTTAGCAATCAACTCATATTGTCATGTCTGTTAACATGTCTGGGTTAGCAATCACTCATATTGTCCTGTGTGTTAACATGTCTGGGTTAGCAATCAACTCATATTGTCCTGTCTGTTAACATGTCTGGTTAGCAATCAACTCATATTGTCATGTCTGTTAACATGTCTGGGTTAGCAATCAACTCATATTGTCCTGTGTGTTAACATGTCTGGGTTAGCAATCAACTCATATTGTCATGTCTGTTAACATGTCTGGGTTAGCAATCAACTCATATTGTCATGTCTGTTAACATGTCTGGGTTAGCAATCACTCATATTGTCCTGTGTGTTAACATGTCTGGGTTAGCAATCAACTCATATTGTCCTGTCTGTTAACATGTCTGGGTTAGCAATCAACTCATATTGTCATGTCTGTTAACATGTCTGGGTTAGCAATCAACGCATATTGTCATGTCTGTTAACATGTCTGGGTTAGCAATCAACTCATATTGTCCTGTGTGTTAACATGTCTGGGTTAGCAATCAACTCATCTTATGTGTAATCACGTTTGCGTACACACTCAGCTCATCTTATGTGTAATCACGCCTGGGTACACGCTCAACTCATCTTATCTTTTGTGTTAACACGTTCTTCACACATTCTTATAACAAGATATTTAACTTCCTACAAATACATGTCCTAATCTTTTAGTTACAAGGCATGATATGGTAGTCAATTAGGCTTGCCATTTAATGGCTAAAATCTATTAATAGAACTGATGTAATCATCCGGGTACTCGGGTCGAAAAAAATATCAACACTGGTCAGTAATACTAAATGAGCTAAGAGGCCCTTAACCTAAATGAAAATTTGTTTACAACTATATTTCACGAAATATTTTACAATTTTTTTTAAACTGGTTTTTTTGTGAAATGGGACTTCATTACACGCACGGCACATGTAGCAGTGACTCTAACTTGTAGCAGTGACTCTAACATGTAGCAGTGACTCTAACATGTAGCAGTGACTCTAACATGTAGCAGTGACTCTAACATGTAGCAGTGACTCTAACATGTAGCAGTGACTCTAACATGTAGCAGTGACTCTAGACACAAGAATCGTCTAAACGCTATGCTGAAACACACGATTAGCTGCGATTCCATTTGTCCGACGTTCTAAAAATAGTAACGCTATGACGTTGTCCGGTCAGTGAAATGTCCAAACCTATAATTGTAGTGAGACCCGCAGTGTTGAATTTCCTAACAGTCCAAGCCTATTGGTCAAGAGCACCACAGCCGTGTATATCCCCCACCCCCCAACTATGGTACGTTAGTCAAGAGTCCCCCTTTTTCGTATTTCCTGGCTGTCCTAATCTTAATACTCATGTTTCAGCTGGTGTAGACATCTTAAATTGTTCATGGTAGGTTACCCACCCCTTATTGTATCTAGTTCATGGGTGATCAAAGCATTTTGCTTTTAAAACATGCAACAATTGGGTTTAAAATGACGTAACCATGTGGTTAACTATCTCTAGCGTAATGGGAAGTTAGGGAAATCATTTCTAGCGCCCCATGTCAAATTAAATTAGTCATTTTTAGCGCCCCATATCAAATTAAATGAATCATTTCTAGTACCCCATGTCAAACTAAATAAATCATTTCTAGCGCGCCATGTCGATTAAACTGTAAACCTTAACTATCAACACTGAAAGTTGTCATGTGTGTACCGTTTTAAATCAATGTTAAAGATTTGTTACAATATAATCAAATTCTAGTGACCTGAATGTTACAAACTCCATATCTAGGTCATATCTGATGTCACTGGCATAAGAGGGACACCAACAACGGTGACACTCAGCATTACTGTTGCTACAGGTTGGTATCAGAACCCATCTTGTGATCCTCTTCTAGAAATCGTATTGTGTGTTCATGTGGTGTTCAGTCAAGAACTCGTATTGCGTGTTCATGTGGTGTTCAGTCAAGAACTCGTATTGTGTGTTCATGTGGTGTTCAGTCAAGAACTCGTATTGTGTGTTCATGTGGTGTTCAGTCAAGAACTCGTATTGTGTGTTCATGTGGTGTTCAGTCAGCCGTGACTTTTATTGTGCTTTCCTTTCTTGACAGCGGCCACTTAACTTTTTGACACATTAAAATTTCGCCAACTCAGTGAGCGGTATTTCTTTTCCCTTTTTGGTTGAACTTTTGTTAACACAACTGGTTGTTTCTCTCTTGTTTTTGCTGTTCTCTTATTGCCTCCCGCCCCACACCCCAGCCCCCACAATTTCTTCTGCAATCAGTTGACCTTGGTTGTGAGAGTTTGAAAGTTCAAGATAATGTCTAGAATCTCCTTGTTTTTCCCGTCTTTCTTCCTGTGGATATAACAGGGGTCCTCGAAACTATTAATCAGGGAGCCGGTTCACTGTCCCTTAAACACGTGAAGGTCGGTTGACTGTCCCACAAACACTTTTGGTGGCCGAATAATGGTTTAATATAAATAATTACAATGCACACTGTATTATATCATTGCACACAGCCATTATATCAATGCACACTGCAAATGTATCAATTCACACTGCCATTATATCAATGCACACTGCAAATGTATCAATTCACACTGCCATTATATCAATGCACACTGCAAATATAACAATGCACAATGCACATATATCAATTGATACATTGTGGTTCAGGGATAAGTCATCTTGCTTGAGAACTTCAGAAAATTTATTGACGGTTATTGACGTCATTGTCTACAGCCTTTAGCTGCTGTCATTATTGACGTCATTTTCTACAGCCCTTGGCTGCTGTCTTTTATTGACGTCATTGTATACAGCCCTTAGCTGCTGTAATTAATTGACGTCATTAACTATAGCCCTTGGCTGCTGTCATTTATTGACGTAATTGTCTTCCTCCCTTAGCTATAGCCATTTATTGACTTCATTGTCTACCTCCCTTACCTACTGTCATTTATTGACGTCATTGTCTACAGCCCTGAGCTGCTGTCATTTATTTACAACATTGTCAACAGCCCCTAGCTACTGTCATTTATTGACGTCATTGTCTTCAGCCCTTGGCTACTGTCATTTATTGACGTCATTGTCTTCAGCCCTTGGCTACTGTCATTTATTGACGTCATTGTCTTCAGCCCTTGGCTAATGTCATTTATTGACGTCATTGTCTTCAGCCCTTGGCTAATGTCATTTATTGACGTCATTGTCTTCAGCCCTTGGCTAATGTCATTTATTGACGTCATTGTCTTCAGCCCTTGGCTACTGTCATTTATTGACGTCATTGTCTTCAGCCCCTGGCTACTGTCATTTATTGACGTCATTGTCTTCAGCCCCTGGCTGCGGTAGTTTAGTGATTATACACAGCCACTTCCTATTTATTGTTGGTAAAAAAGGACAAGGATCTGCCCACGTGACTTGTGACCTAATTAAGTGGAGTGACTAAAAAGCACACGTGTTCAAAGAATCTGACATTCAGACAAACAATGAAACAGAGTATCAGACACACATAGAGGCACTCAAACCTGACAATCAGACAGTGAGACAATCAGAATGACAATCAGACAATTTCTCAGTCAGACAGACTCTCAGATTGACAGTCATGCAATCAGACAAACAATCAGACAGACAATCAGACAGACTTAAACCCCCTAAGTAGTTGATGTAAAAGCAACTGGCTTTGGAGCATATGTTTTTAAAAAGTAAGATTTTTTTTTAAAGACTTCAGGCGATCTGTTCGTTTTGACATCAGCAATGACTTAACTTCTAATCACCTGTAGTGAAATCACCTCTACTTTTACAATTCCACAAACCTTGTAATTGTACAAGGACTTAAATAACATTTTCTTGAATCCAAATCAATGAGTTGTTTAGTCCTCACCAACGCAAAGAGATATGAAGTCTTTTTGTGGAAATGGAAATCAATTCTCTGGAGTAGACCATTGATTAATATTTCAATATGAGAAGATAATCCATGGCTTAATGCATGCCGGTAGTTTTTTATCATCTCCCTTTACAGAGTGGTTCCCAGTTTCATTTGTTTGCGATCTAATTTTGATAAGACTTTTAATTAGAGCAACAATGGGACAACCAAATCTAAAGCCAAGAAAACTACATAACGTTACTTCGGGGGTGTCTCAAATTAAAATGTTACAACTAAAATGTTACAACTAGAGTGTTACAACCAAGTATTACATCTAAAATGTTACAACTAAAATGTTACCACTAAAACGTTACAACTAAAATTTTACAAATAGCATGTTACAATCCAGTACAGCAAATAGCGATTACAATAAATACATACGCTACCGGTAAATTTAAAGTTAGATCATCATACAATTCTATTGGTTGCATGCCATTTTCAAAGTATCGCATTCATCTATTGTACGGTATATAACAGGCCTGCACTACATACGGCCCGCCAGCACCACTTGGTGGCCCATGGAGTGAAGAAATATTCTTTAGTATTTCTATTATTTTCTTAATAGCATGTGTCCCCTGCCATTTTATCTTTTTGCCCGCACAAGTTTTTCTTAGTATTACGACCCACCTTACATTTTGAGTTGTGCAGGCTTGGTAAACAACGTAGTCAAACTATGTTTGTGTCAAAATTGTGAATACTTTTCTAGTGTATTCCTTTACCCCTAGCTATGGGCGTGTCATGCCGTGTATAACGTAAGGACTCTATGTTGTTTACCCTTGTTGCATTTTGTGTGGAGCAAATGTCTTTTGAACATAAAAAATATGTGCTAGACTGAACATGAAGCTTATTGCACTGAAGCTTATTGAACACTGCACCAAAAAAGTATGGTATAAGACTTTTAGGGTACTTTTTATATACGAAGTAAAATCTGATACTTCAATAAACGGAGCCCCCGTATCTTTGTATCCCCAGGGAGTCGTCTGATGTACATGGCTGACTTTGATGATAACGCTGGCTTCACGTCCTACAACGAGACTGGCTTCGAGTCTCGTGAGCTGTATTTGCCTGGCGATTACCGTGTCCAAGTGGCGGCCAATGATATGGATTTGTCCTTCCAGGTAAAACGGGTTGGGCGATGCAGGTGGAAATGAACCTGAGCTGTGGCTACTGCATACCAAAGAAATGAATTATACAATTATTTTATCGTGTACGAATTTTAAAAAAAAATCTTTTTGAAAAAGCTTTTAATACGGTTTGATCATGTACATGTTTGCCTTATGATCTTATATCATGTACACGTCATCATTTATCCCTCCACATATTACACTGTTTTGATTTGTTGATTCACGGTCGATCTTTTTTACATTTTTTTTCCCTATCTATTGTCTTGTAGTTAAGTATTTGATCACATTAGTAAATCACATAAACATAATAGTTATTCACTTCTTTACTTAGTAGAGATGAACATATTGCATAAATAAGACATATAAAGTATATGAAGTGGGTTATAACTTCTCCCCATTCTAGTCAAATTATTGTATTTTTTAACTGATTAAAAATATTTCAAAATCATTTATTAATGAAATATTTTAAAGAAATAAATAGTTTCCTTAAAACGTTTTTAAAAAAAAATACCATTGAGTAACAATGAAAAGATTAATGAAAAGGATTTGTGGGAACACAACTAGGTCAAGAAACACCGTCTGTTGCTCTCCGATGAAGTGTAGAAGGATGCAAAATTATATGTTGATATGCGCTAGAATACATTTCTGAAATTTTAAATAATGAAAATTCTGGTGAGGGGTTCCCTTACCAAACACCTCCTTAATCTCCACCCCCCACCCTCTTTTTTTCCAACCGATCCAAAGAACTCCATCAGCACATTTTCATCATGATTTTTTAATATTATTTGTTAAATGGATATTGCAATTTTAAATATTTGTCTTCCTTAGCTTAAACTCACAAAAATGTGTTTAAAAATTCACTGCATATTCTAGTTTTACTTTAAAGATTCCAGGGGCGCGAATAAGCTGGTACTAAAGCATACCCCCCGCCCCCCGGGGTGTCACACTCGCATGAAAAGCCATACGCAAGAAGCATAAATCGTAGCTTCTCATTTACTCCAGGACACATACGCCGTCACAGGGTTTGTTCTAGAACAACCGGTGAGTGACGTGGAGATACTGTGTGACCCCGCCTTCGCTACACACGAGGAGGGTCGTTGCGAGGTCACGGTCTGGAGAGGGAGCAACCTTAAGCTAGACGCAACTTTCCCAGACAGAAGTGAATTCGACATCCACTTGGATCCCATAGCAGGTTGGGAAAAATGGCTTCTCTTATCCTAACATACATTTTTTTATCACATTACAGGTTGGACCACATGACTACTATTGACAAATCCAGATTAACACCCTTTGGTGTCCTGAGCACTTAAATATTCTGGGAAGCCATATTTTTTATAACTCTAAATATCAAGAAATATTTAAACATAAACTACTACTTTATTGATATCAACCGAACGTTCTCTTAAGATAGTAGAATAGTATATAGAAACTTTGTTTACATTTAAAAACAAAATTACACTACAATTTATAATTTCAAGTCTTTTATACAATCCTAAAACTACTTTTCCGTAATACATTAGCTTCCTCACTCATTTAAGATAGACCACCCAACTTGCCTTGTTGGAAAGTTAAGATAGACCATCCAATCTGTCTTGTTGGAAAGTTAAGATAGACCACCCAACCTGCCTTGTTGGAAAGTTAAGATAGACCATCCAATCTGTCTTGTTGAAAATTTAAGATAAACCATCAAACATGCATTGTTGCGGACTTGATCTGCTAAGGTATTTAAAGACTTTCTTTCTACTCGCTATGCCATCTTGTTTGTTAGTACATCGTCATCTTTTTGTTGATGCACGTGACCTTCGTTCGGTAGCTTGAGTCTTCCTTGTGCTGACCTGTAAGTTCACATCTGAGTTGATGAAACAGAGTTACAGCTCTGGTACGCTGACCAACGAATGGTAACTCTGACCAACGCACGGTAACTCTGACCAACTCATGGTAACTCTGACCAACGCACGGTAACTCTGACAAACGAACGGTAACTCTGACCAACGCACAGTAACTCTGACCAACGAACGTTAACTCTGACCAACGCACAGTAACTCTGACCAACTCATGGTAACTCTGACCAACGCACGGTAACTCTGACCAACTAACGATCACTCTGACCAACTCACGGTAACTCTGACCAACGAACGGTAACTCTGACCAACGGACAGTAACTCTGACCACTTCATGGTAACTCTGATCAACTGACGGTAACTCTGACCAACGAACGGTAACTCTGACCAACCCACAGTAACTATGACCAACGAACGGTAACTCTCACCAACATACAGTAACTCTGACCAACTCATGGTAACTCTGACCAACGCACGGTAACTCTGACCAACTAACGATCACTCTGACCAACGCACGGTAACTCTGACAAACGCACGGTAACTCTGACCAACGCACGGTAACTCCTACCAATGCACGGTAACTCTGACCAACGAACAGTAACTCTGACCAACGAACGTTAACTCTGACCAACGAATGTTAACTCTGACCAACGCACGGTAACTCTGACCAACGAACGGTAACTCTGACCAACGCATGGTAACTCTGACCAATGAACGGTAACTCTGACCAACTCACGGTAACTCGAACCAACGCACGACGAATGTTAACTCTGACCAACGCACGGTAACTCTGACCAACGAACGGTAACTCTGACCAACGCATGGTAACTCTGACCAATGGACGGTAACTCTGACCAACTCATGGTAACTCTGACCAACGCACGGTAACTCTGACCAACGAACAGTAGCTCTGACCAACTCATGGTAACTCTGACCAACGCACGGTAACTCTGACCAACGCATGGTAACTCTGACCAACGCATGGTAACTCTGACCAAGGGACGGTTACTCTGACCAACTCATGGTAACTCTTACCAACGCACGGTAACTCTGACCAACGAACGGTAACTCTGACCAACGAACGGTAACTCTGACCAACGCATGGTAACTCTGACCAACGCACGGTAACTCTGACCAACTCATGGTAACTCTGACCAACGGACGGTAACTCTGACCAACGCACGGTAACTCTGACCAACTCATGGTAACTCTGACCCACGAACTGTTACTCTGAACAACGAAAGGTAAAAAGTCTTTAAATTCTACTTCTTAATTTTATGCATGGGTAAACAGCTAAGTCACCATACCCAGTATCTTGTTTTGTTGTTAAATATGTTTGCTTGTTTTTGCTTTATAATTTACAGATTAAAACTTGTTTATTAAAATGTAGATTAAAAATATTTAAAAGTTTCTTAAATCTCTTAAAATGCCTTGACGCAAAGAAAGTCTGTGCAGAAAATATGTTTAAAATTAGGAAAAAATTACATATTTTAGTTTGTTCTAGTTCGAATCCCTTGTCTTTAAAGAATCCATTCTTAATTACCCTTATTCACATAATGTCCTTGCTAATGAATGTTAAGATATTTTAAGAGAAGTGTGTTTTACCTTTGAGTGTTTTTCAAACGTTCTTCGAAAAATTGTCTTTTTAAAATTAATATGTTTAAAATATTTTCTATGTATATTCCTGGGCAAATGAACACTCAATTGAACACTTGGTTATCGTTTATGTTCATATGAACATTTGGAAATAGTCATCTACTTTTTTTTAAACTTTAAATAGTCGACTGCTATTATAAGGATTAAATATACGAAACTCCACTTTCAAAATTTAAAACTGTATGCCTTATTGTTACAATTTTAAAATCTGTTTGTATGCGTCTAATCTATTTGAATTTCTTAAGCTGAACTGTATAGTAGCTTAATGGAGTCCAGCATGGTTGGGTAAGATAAGTCTTATCATAGATTCATTTGGTATGGTTACAGTAAGACATATCACTGATCCATTGGCTACGGTTACAGTAAGACTTATCATTGCCATTGGGGCTATGGTGAAAGTAAGACTTATCATTGACATAATGGCTATGGTGATAGTAAGACATATCATTGACATAATGTCAACGGTGACAGTAAGACTTATCATTGCCATTAGGGCTATGTTGAAAGTTAGACTTATCATTGACATAATGGCTATGGTGATAGTAAGACATATCATTGAGATAATGGCTACGGTGACAGTAAGACTTATCATTGAAATTAGGGCTATGATGACAGTAAGCCATATCATTGACATAATGGCTATGGAGATAGTAAGAGTTATCATTGACATAATGGATATGGTGACAGTAAGACTTATCATTGACATAATGGCTATGGTGACAGTAAGACTTATCATTTACATATGGCTATGGTGACAGTAAGACTTATCATTGACATAATGGCTATGGTGACAGTAAGACTTATCATTGACATAATGGCTATGATGACAGTAAGACTTATTTTTGACATAATGGCTATGGTGACAGTAAGACTTATCATCGACCTGAGGGACATAGTGCTTTAATATGGTGTTGTATCCTCACACAGATCCAATCGTCTCAATGGCGGGCTGGTGGGTCCCACAACCCCTTGTAACAGCCAGCGCAGGAGTTTACTTGATGAGATACGCCCTCTTCAACACGATAGGGAAGATCTACGGCTGGCGTCTCCATGTCAATGTGCCCGGTCCAATAGATCTAATGGTTAGTCGATAGTGCTGTCTCTTTGGATTAAATGTATTTTTTATTTCTTCATTAGACTTTCAGTCTCAAATACCAGTTCATCATATCAGTCACTCCATCACCCAACCCGCTCGTTCCTAGTGTCCCAGTAACTCTGAGACAATAATAATAAGAAGAAAGTTAATTTGAAAAATACGCTTCATCCCCCAAATCTTGAAGCGCGGTTCAAAGTCAACCATATTAAAATGAGAAATAAAACATTCTAAAATTTACCACATTTAAAAACAGATGCAACAATATAAAAACTACATACAAGCATAAAAAGTCAAGGTCTTTCACCCCATTTCAACCATAAGCAACACAAGCCAATATACATTAACTGGAAAAAGATGGTAGATAGCATCACTCCAGAAGGTGTTTGCGAAATAGATGTGTATTTAAATCGTTTTTAAAGGACTCCAGTGGCTGGCTGTTTCTGAGAACGACAGGAAGGGCGTTCCAAATTGTTGGGCCAGCAAAAGCAAAAGTTCGCTTTCCGTAAGTCTCAAGGCGATCACGTGGTATCGATATTTTGCCACTATCGGATGAGCGGAGCTCTCTAGTGGGTACATAAGGCGTCATGAGTGCTTTGAGATAAGACGGTGCCAAGTCATGTAAGCAGCGGTAGCACAAAGTTGCAATTTTGAACTCTATGCGAGCGCGGACCGGCAGCCAATACAGCTCTCTCAGAAGTGTTTTAGCATGGTCAAATTTGCGTTTGCGAAGAACAATGCGAGCCGCATTATTCCGTGCTCTTTGAATTTTATCCAGGAGCGTAGCTGGAAGACCCACCATGAGAGCATTGCAGTAGTCTATGCGTGATTGCACGAATGCAGACATCAGCCTCTTTGACGCGTCGAATGTTAAGAAAGATCAGTTATGACTAATCCTGCGCAGCTCTAGCAAAATCGCCTTGCAAAGCATGTTAATGTGATTTTCCATAGTTAGTGTTCATTCTAAATAGACACCCAGGTCTCGCACTGTTTGAGCAAACTCAATCCGCACATCTAAGAGAGCAAATGATGTGTTATTTACAGATTTTTGCTTCTGAGTGGTGGCAATGGGGATCAGCTCAGTCTTTTCATCATTCAACTTGAGCTTGTTTATGGTTATCCAGTGCTTACTGACTCCACTGTCTTCTGTGTCATACTAAGAAGCTGAATGATTTTAGAGTGGGTCACGGATTGCTGAAGTTGCGTATCATCCACGAACAGGTGATAGAGCATATCAAATTGCTTGATCACTGCACCCAGTGGCTGAACGTACATAGTGAAAAGCACCGGGCCTATGACTGAGCCCTGTGGTACTCCGAATTCAATTATAAATTGCTTCGAGGTCAAGCCGTTTGAAATAACTGACGGGACCCAATTTGTCATGTACGAGTGAAACCATCTCAGGACGGTATCGGTGAAACCGAACGTTTTTTGAAGACGCTGGAGAAGTATGCCGTGGTCAAGCGTATGGAAAGCTGACAAAACCCATAAGTTCATACCGTCAATATCTCAGTTACATAACGCGTCAGTTCAGCAAGAGATGTTTATGTTTGTGTTAAAGTTATTGTGGACGTCCTCGTGGAAATACTAAAGATATTACAGGGCATAACGTGAACTACATCATAGCGAAATAAAAACTAAAATTCCTAGCTAAAGACCTGCGACTAATTTCATTTAAACCGTAAGAAAAATTATTTTCCATTTTTATAAATTGTACTACACATTGTTTGTGTCATTTTGAAATAAAAACTAAAATTCCTAGCTAAAGACCTGCGACTAATTTCAGTTAAACCGTAAGAAAAATTATTTTCCATTTTTATAAATTGTACTACACATTGTTTGTGTCATTTTTAAATGTATTTTCGTCCTTCCATTGTTACGTCCCTTTGTTAAGATTGTGTGTGTTTTTTTTAAACCTAAACTTTAAATAAGCTTTAAACTTGTTCAGTGTACACAACTACAAGTTCTACGCATTTCATTGTTCAGTGTACACAACTACAAGTACTACGCATTTCATTGTTCAGTGTACACAACTACAAGTTCTACGCATTTCATTGTTCAGTGTACACAACTACAAGTTCTACGCATTTAATTGTTCAGTGTACACAACTACAAGTACTACGCATTTCATTGTTCAGTGTACACAACTACAAGTTCTACGCATTTAATTGTTCAGTGTACACAAATACAAGTACTACGCATTTCCTTGTTCAGTGTACACAACTACAAGTACTACGCATTTCATTGTTCAGTGTACACAGCTACAAGTACTACGCATTTCATTGTTCAGTGTACACAGCTACAAGTACTACGCATTTAATTGTTCAGTGTACACAGCTACAAGTACTACGCATTTAATTGTTCAATGTACACAGCTACAAATACTACGCATTCAATTGTTCAGTGTACACAGCTACAAGTACTACGCATTTCATTGTTCAGTGTACACAACTACAAGTTCTACGCATTTCATTGTTCAGTGTACACAACTACAAGTTCTACGCATTTCCTTGTTCAGTGTACACAACTACAAGTTCTACGCATTTAATTGTTCAGTGTACACAACTACAAGTACTACGCATTTCATTGTTCAGTGTACACAACTACAAGTTCTACGCATTTAATTGTTCAGTGTACACAACTACAAGTTCTACGCATTTCATTGTTCAGTGTACACAACTACAAGTTCTACGCATTTCCTTGTTCAGTGTACACAGCTACAAGTACTACGCATTTCATTGTTCAGTGTACACAGCTACAAGTACTACGCATTTCATTGTTCAGTGTACACAACTACAAGTACTACGCATTTAATTATTCAATGTACACAGCTACAAGTTCTACGCATTTAATTGTTCAGTGTACACAGCTACAAGTATTACGCATTTAATTGTTCAGTGTACACAGCTACAAGTACTACGCATTTCATTGTTCAGTGTACACAACTACAAGTACTAAACATGTACTTGTTCCATGTACACAACTTCACATTAAATAGTTCCATGTGCACAATTTTTACTTGGCAAATTCAAAAAACAAGTTTATCTTTAAAATCCCCCCCCCCCCAAAATTCCAATGGCTACATTGTAAAATCATTCTAATCTTTTCATTTAAAAATTTCTCTATTCACCTCTAAATCTCTTCATGTGCACAATTTTTACTTGGCAAATTCAAAAAACAAGTTTATCTTTAAAATCCCCCCCCCCAAAATTCCAATGGCTACATTGTAAAATCATTCTAATCTTTTCATTTAAAAATTTCTCTATTCACCTCTAAATCTCTTCACTCTCCTCCAACTCTCTTCTCTTCTCCCTCCAGATCTTGTCCCCCTACTGTAACGCCATGAGCTATTGCTTCGAGACCAACCGCTGCCAGACGTCCGGCTCCTGCCTGTCCAGCAACTTGACCAATCAACACATGAGCACACAATGCAGCAGCTCCGACGTCTTCTGTATGCAGAATGAAAAATGTTTCTCTTCGTGCCCCACCCCTCCTGCTAGATACGGCACCACGACGATCAATGGTAAGCTTTGGCATTTCCTTGTAATGTTATACACCAGAGTAATATGTGTAATATGTTATACACCAGAGTGATAGTTGTAAGATGTTATACACCAGAGTGATGTGTTTAATATGTTATACACCAGAGTGATGTGTTTAATATGTTATACACCATAGGGATATGTTTAATTTTTTATACACCAGTGTGGTGTGTTTAATATGTTATACACAAGAGTGATGTACTTAATATGTTACACCTACTTGATATGTGTAATATGGTATACACCAGAATGGTATGTGTTATACAAGTACTGTGATATTTACACAATAGGTCGTGTTTTTAACATTATTCTTATTGCCAGTATTAACAGATTGAAAGTCGACATAGGGCACATGACATATGACAAATGATCTATTTTTACAGCCGACAAACGTGATCTTCACAGGACTATAACAAAAAGAGGTGGTGGGGGTGGAATGTACTACTAAATGTCGTTATTTATCACGCTCATTCTCTCTAACTCTCTCTCTCTCTCTCTCTCTCTCTCTCTCTCTCTCCAATTCTCTCACTAACTCTGTTGTAAAGTTTGGACATTATTCTAAATGCTTTGGTTATAAATTCATTTTTTGAGGTACCAATATTTGTATGGCTAGCCTCGCCTTATATAACCTATGATCAAAGCAATGCATTGAATAGACATGTTATGTATTGAAGGTTTAAGGATCTCTTCTAACAGTTCATTCAGTTCAGACATTTCCAAAAATACATCTTAATGTCATAACACATCTTAATGTCATAATGCACCTTTATTTCACTACATATCTTTAATTCACTATACAGACGTCATGTATTTAGGATAATCTAGTCCTGTTTTTTAGCATACACGACATTTAATAAAATGTAGATCAGTTTTATTGATTAGATAGTAGTCTTTTGCACGAAAATCACGTAGAGTGTAGTGCATGATCGGGTTATTATCGATAAGCAGGTTTTGTTTAGGTTAGCGCCATATTCATTGAGTCAATTGGGGAAGGGGGAGATATGGAGATCAAGTTGTAATTTATTGCTAAAATTATTGATTTTCTATTTTAAATTGTTTCAGTATTAAAGTTTGATGAAATCACTGAATGTTAAATTAAATACATTTTTGCATGGTTTTTATTCTGATTAGTTTTTATATGGAGCTGTACATTTAATAAGAGAAGAATAGTTCTAGTTATTTGCTTAAATGAGGGGGATATCTTAACATTCTTCTGTTTTATCTCAGAAATGTTCAGTGATTTAGTTCAAATGTCAATCTTATCTCAGAAATGTTTAGTGACTTGGTTCAAATGTCTGTCTTATTACAGAGTTAATTCAAATGTCTTCTGTGCTATTACAGAAATATTAAGTGAATTAGTTCAAATGTCGCCTGTCTTACCTCAGAAATATTAAGTGAATTAGTTCAAATGTCGCCTGTCTTACCTCAGAAATATTAAGTGAATTAGTTCAAATGTCGCCTGTCTTACCTCAGAAATATTAAGTGAATTAGTTCAAATGTCGCCTGTCTTACCTCAGAAATATTAAGTGAATTAGTTCAAATGTCGCCTGTCTTACCTCAGAAATATTAAGTGAATTAGTTCAAATGTCGCCTGTCTTACCTCAGAAATATTAAGTGAATTAGTTCAAATGTCGCCTGTCTTACCTCAGAAATATTAAGTGAGTTAGTTCAAATGTCGCCTGTCTTACCTCAGAAATGTTAAGTGAATTAGTTCAAATGTCGCCTGTCTTACCTCAGAAATATTAAGTGAATTAGTTCAAATGTCGCCTGTCTTACCTCAGAAATGCTAAGTGAATTGATCAAATGTCATTTATCCTATCAAAAAATGTTTCGTGAGTTAGTTTAAATGTCATCCGTCTTATTACAGAAATGTTTCGTGAGCTAGTTTAAATGTCATCCGTCTTATTACAGAAATGTTTCGTGAGTTAGTTTGAATGTCATCCGTCTTATTACAGAAATGTTTCGTGAGTTAGTTTTAATGTCATCCGTCTTATTACAGAAATGTTTCGTGAGTTAGTTTAAATGTCATCCGTCTTATTACAGAAATGTTTCGTGAGTTAGTTCAAATCAAGGAATTTTACAAAAGATACTTTTATTTGAAGTTTTTTCCTTCACAAACAACCAGCTTATAAAATGTAACAGAAAGGATAAAGTAAGGATTTTAAATATAACCTAGTGCAAGGGTTCCCGACCTGGAGCGTGCACACCCACACGGTTTGAAGGGTGGCATTACAAGGGGTGTGAAGAAAATGGATTCGAAAAACAGAGGAGGCATTAGCTATAAAGCTATGATATAAATGTTGAAATGATAGAAATTTTGATATGATATAAAAGTTGATATGATAGAAATGTTGATATGATGGAAATGTTGATGTGAAAGAAATGTTTATATATGTTAAAACATGTTTCATTGACATTTTCATTGTGTCATTAGTCACAAGTTATTAGACACGAGTCATAAGTCACAAGTCCTAAGTCATCAGCTTATCTTTTAGAACTTTACAAATATCTTTGCTATTTTATTAAAAAATTAGGATTACATTACTATCGACTTATAAAATATAAATAATTAGGCGCTACGAGGCTAGTCAAATAATACGTTGAGGTTGTTAGACTTAGGGAAAAATCTCAATATTATGGTGTTATGAGACTAGTCAAATAATGTGTCGGTGGTGTAGAGTCTAAAAAAATCTGGGAAACGCTTGGCAAAGGTTTCTATTTATTTGTTTTACCTTAAGATGAGGGAGAGAGAATTCTAATTGGCATGTGTTTTGTGAGGGGAATAAGTTCAAATTAGTCTATAAGCCTAGCTACCTACGTGGGTACCTAAATGGCTACTTAAGTGGCTTCCCCATAGTTGGGCATCTTATTTCAAATGGGTGAAAGGAGATTCACAACTTCTTTGCAATGCCACTTCTTATATCAATAGCTACCCAACTTCTTATATCAATGGCTACCCCCAACTTCTTATATCAATGGCTACCCCACTTCTTATATCAATGGCTACCCCACTTCTCATATCACTTGCTACCCCACTTCTTATATCAATGGCTACACCATTTCTTAAATAAATGGCTAACCCACTTCTAATATCAATGGCTACCCCACTTTTTTTATCAATGGCTACCCCACTTCTTATATCAATGGCTACCCCACTTCTTAAATAAATGGCTACCCATATTCTTATATCAATGGCTACCCCACTTCTTATAACAATGGCTACCCCACTTCTTATATCAATGGCTACACCACTTCTTATATCAATGGCTACCCCTCTTCTTATATCAATGGCCACCCCACATCTTATATCAATGGCTACCACACTTCTTATATCAATGGCTACCCCACTTCTTATATCAATGGCTACCCCACTTCTTATATCAATGGCTACACCACTTCTTATATCAATGGCTACCCCTCTTCTTATATCAATGGCCACACCACATCTTATATCAATGGCTACCACACTTCTTATATCAATGGCTACCCCACTTCTTAAATCAATGGCTACCCCACTTCTTATATCAATGGCTACCCCACTTCTTTTATCAATGGCTACACCATTTCTTAAATAAATGGCTACCCCACTTCTAATATCAATGGCTACCCCACTTCTTTTATCAATGGCTACCCCACTTCTTATATCAATGGCTACCCCACTTCTTAAATAAATGGCTACCCATATTCTTATATCAATGGCTACCCCACTTCTTATAAAAATGGCTACCCAACTTCTTATATCAATGGCTACACCACTTCTTATATCAATGGCTACCCCTCTTCTTATATCAATGGCCACACCACTTCTTATATCAATGGCTACCACACTTCTTATATCAATGGCTACCCCACTTCTTAAATCAATGGCTACCCCACTTCTTATATCAATGGCTACCCCACTTCTTATATCAATGGCTACCTTACTTCTTATATCAATGGCTACACCACTTCTTATATCACTGGCTACCCCACTTCTTATATCACTAGCTAACTGACTCCTTAAATCAAAACTTCTCTCGTGCTAAGTATTTTATTTTAAAACAAACAAATTAGAATATTAATGTACTGCGTCATAACTTAGTGTACACAAATTAGATTACTAATGTACTGCGTCATAACTTGGTGTACACATATTAAACTACTAATGTACAACATGTTAACTTTATATTAGAATACTAACCATTTGACCTTGACCTTTCTTCACCATTTTGTAAAACAGGTGCATTAGGTAAGCTTACTGTGTGTGCTGTACTAACATATATCTTAATTCATACCTGTGTGTCCTGTACTAACAAACATCTGCATTCATTCCTGTGTGTGTGCTGTACTAACAAACATCTTAGTTCGTACCGATACTAATGATATTATCTTGTGCTATAGTAACAAACACCATAAGAAAAACAACACTATGCTTTATGTAATACAATACATTCAGTACTACAACACATCAGTACTACAATACCATCAGTATTACAACACATCAGTCTTACAACACCATCAGTACTACAACGCCATCAGTACTAAACACCATCAGTACTACAATACATCAGTACTACAACACCATCAGTACTACAACACATCAGTACTACAACACCATCAGTACTACAACACATCAGTACTACAACACCATCAGTACTACAACACCATCAGTACTACAACATCATCAGTACTACAACACCATCAGTACTACAACACCATCAGTACTACAACACCATCAGTACTACAACACCATCAGTACTACAACATCATCAGTACTACAACACCATCAGTACTACAACACCATCAGTACTACAAGACCATAAGCACAACAAAATCATAAGCATCATAAGTACTACAACACCATCGGTACCACTACAATACGTTCAGTACTACAACACCATTAGTGCTTTTAACTGTTGCATGTGGTACTGTTATGTGATTTATTTTATTTTTGTTTATTTTGCTTACTATAAAATACTAGAAGAAATGATACCATATTACGGTTACCGAGGTAAAAATGGAAGGCATATTCCGTTACCCTGTGCCTGCTTGTGGAAATCTCAATTATTTTTTAAATCACCTTTTCACGTATAAATCTGGATTTGATCTATTGTATCCTCAAAACAAACTGGCTATTTTTCACACCATTTAAATTTATATTAAGGAAATAATAAATAAGAAATTTTAAAATTAGTATCTATGTATAGATATTTATGTTTTAACTGCATTTAGCTTCGAGAAATTTTATATTTTATTTGAAACAGGCATGTCTTACACCTTTTCATGCCCCTGAGCTACAACTAAATACCGTTCCTTCTGACAGTAACACAAATACAGAATTTACCTGTCAGTAGCACATGGCAAGATTTTACCTGTCACTAACACAAATACAGACTTTACCTGTCAGTAACACAAGGACAGACTTTACCTGTCAGTAACACATTATTAATTTACCCGTCAGTTACACATGGACAGACTTTACCTGTAAGTAACACTTGGTCTGACTTTACCTGTCAGTAACACATGGTCAGACTATACCTGTCAGTAACACATGGTCAGACTATACCTGTCTACACTTTGGCTATGTTTGGGTATGACTAGTTTCAGACACTTTCCAACCTAAGGTTCAATATTTATATATTATTATTCTATTATTAACTTTTAATTTTTCCTTTAAAACTTAAACTGTTGTAAATTTTTTCATCTTTTTCAACACCACTTCAACTGTTAAATAAATGTTAACATTTCATACTATTTTGTTGACACTAGTTCTAGGACTGGACTGTCAATCACAAAGTGTGTTCTAACCTTCTTAAATGTGGTTTTGTAACTTTTTTTCTTCCCTAGTTATTTTTTTAAATTTTCAAACAAAAATTTGAACCCAAGATAAAACGCAAAGAGTCAACATTAAAACACACTTTTTAAGTTTGAGTGGTCTCACCAATGTGACTTGGCTCACGTAGTTCACCACGGCTACCTAATGTGGTTGACTAGGTTGACATAGCTGATGTTGTTCACCAAGTTGACATAGCTAATGTGGTTGACTAGGTTGACATAGCTGATGTTGTTCACCAAGTTGACATAGCTAATGTGGTTGACTAGGTTGACATAGCTGATGTTGTTCACCAAGTTGACATAGCTGATGTTGTTCACCAAGTTGACATAGCTGATGTTGTTCACCAAGTTGACATATCTAATGTAGCTAATTTAGAAAGAATGTAGAAACTGCCATGATAGCTTAGTTTTATTCTTTTAAGTCTGATTCAGATGTAACCTTTTGATATTGAAAATGCGATTCTCAAAATTATTCTGTCGTGTTATTTATAATGTATGTAGTAGAGGATTTTAAATCCCTGCACCACCCAATGTGGACACCAAGCAATGACGACACTACCCAATGTCCACATTACCCAATGTTTAATACCTAATGTCCACTACATATTGTTAACTATCTAATGTCCACATTACCTAATGCCCACTACATAATGTCCACTACCTAATGTCCACATTAACCAATTCTACTACCTAGTGTCTACTACATAATGTCTACATTACCCTATGTCCACTATCTAATGTCAACTATCTAATGTCAAATAAGTAATGTCCTCTACGTAATGTCCACTAGCTAATGTCCACTACCTAATTTCCACTAACCTTATGTCCTCTATCTAATGTCCAATATCTAATGTCCACTACCTAATGTCGACTACCTATTGTCCACTACCTAATGTCCAAAAACCTTATTTCCACTACCTAATGTCCACTTTCTAATGTTCAATATCTAATGTCCTCTACCTAATGTCCACTACCTAATGTCCACAACCTAATTTCCACTACCTAATGTCCACAAACCTTATGTCCACTACCTAATGTCCACTACCTAATGTCTAATATCTAATGTCCACTTCCTAATGTCCACAAACCTTATGTCCACAACCTAATGTCCACTATCTAATGTCCACAAACCGTATGTCTACTATCTAATGTCCAATATCTAATGTCCAATATTTTCTGTCCACTACCTAATGTCCACTACCTAATTTCCACTACCTAATGTCCACAAACCTTATGTTCATTACCTAATGTCCCCTATGTAATGTCCAATATCTAATGTCCACTATCTAATGTCCACTACCTAATTTCCACAACCTAATGTCCACAAACCTTATGTCCACTACCTAATGTCCACTATCTAATGTCCAATATCTAATTTCCTCTACCTAATGTCCACTACCTAATTTCCACCACCTAATGTCCACAGCTAATGTACACTACCCAATGTCTACTACCCAATGCCCAAATTACCCAATGTCCACTACCTAATGTCTATAATCTAACGTCCACTATCTAATGTCCAATATCTAATGTCCCATGTCTAATGTCCGCTACCTAATCTACGTACTTATTTTTTTCCCTGTTTTGAAATGTATATGTCTCTCTAAATATACTGATAACACTTAGGAGCTATATTTTTAAAATATTTTTTTTTTCTTTTAAGTTAAAATATATTTTTGGTTCTTAACACTTAATTATTTGAACATTAATTATTAACCATTCCAAATTTCCTCCACACTCTCTTTCCGGTACGTCTTCTCTGTCAAATGACTTCATGACTTAACATCCGCTCTGACATATGACTTCATGATGTCACACCTGCTCTACCCTATGACTTCGTGACGTCACACCTCTTTGGTCTAAAGTTCCAGAGTACGTGGTCAAGGAAGTCTTACAAATCAATCCAACAACTACTGGCACCCAGTGGATTGACCAGAGTCCCTTCCTGGACGTACAACCCGGTTACATTCTAGGCATAAGCCACGGCTACGCGGGGAGGATATCAGAGGTGGCATCCTCCCTCACGGATGTCAGTGTCGGCAGCTCACCCCCGGCAGTAGGGGCTTCATACTTCAGGGCCAATCTCATCAACACTTCTACGACGCATGCGCTCCAAGCATTCTACTCATCTGGATCAAAGGTAAGGTACCTACACAAAAACTCAAGCTAAAAAGATCTACACAAAACACAAGCTAAAAAGATCTACAGACAAAACACAAGCTAAAATGATCTACACAAAACACAAGCTAAAAAGATCTACACACAAATACAAGCTAAAAAGATATATACACAAACACAAGATAAAAAGATCTATACACAAACACACGCTAAAAAGATCTACACACAAACACAAGCTAAAAAGATCTATACACAAACACAAGCTAAAAAGATCTATTCACAAACACAAGCTAAAAAGATCTACACAAAATACAAGCTAAAAAGATCTACACACAAACACAAGCTAAAAAGATCTATACACAAACACAAGCTAAAAATATCTACACACAAACACAAGCTAAAAAGATCTATACACAAACACAAGCTAAAAAGATCTACACACAAACAAAAGCTAAAAAGATCTACACACAAACACAAGCTAAAAAGATATATACACAAACACAAGCTAAAAAGATCTACACACAAACACAAGCTAAAAAGATCTATACACAAACACAAGATAAAAAGATCTATACACAAACACAAGCTAAAAAGATCTACACACAAATACAAGCTAAAAAGATCTATACACAAAACACAAGCTAAAAAGATCTACAGACAAAACACAAGCTAAAATGATCTACACAAAACTCAAGCTAAAAAGATGTACACACAAATACAAGCTAAAAAGATATATACACAAACACAAGATAAAAAGATCTATACACAAACACAAGCTAAAGAGATCTACACACAAACACAAGCTAAAAAGATCTATACACAAACACAAGCTAAAAAGATCTACACACAAACACAATCTAAAAAGATCTATACACAAACACACGCTAAAAAGATCTATACACAAACACAAGCTAAAAAGATCTATACACAAACACAAGCTAAAAAGATCTACACACAAACACAAGATAAATATCTTTTTAAAAAAACTAAAGGTAACAAATATTCATAAAAATATGAAGGTAAGATAATTCAGAAGCCACGTTAGTCCAGGCCCTTTTGAGTGGATGCATATAGATGGTGAGTGGTGTCATAAAGATGTTGAGTGGTGTCATATAGAAGCTGAGTGATGTCATATAGATGCTGAGTGGTGTCATATAGATGCTGAGTGGTGTCATATAGATGCTGAGTGGTGTTATATAGATGCTGAGTGGTGTCATATAGATTCTGAGTGGTGTCACATAGATGCTGAGTGACAGTGCAAACCCCAGGAAAGTCAACTGCTCCCACCCCCTAAAACAAATGTCAACAAAAATAAACTAAAATAAATTTTATAAAAAAGATTTACTTGAAATTTGATAGAAAGAAATTTCGTCGACGGAAATTTGATCGACTGAAGTTTGATAAAAAATGTTTTTCAGTCTACACTTTTATATTTTCGCCAATTTTTTTCTGAACGCACTATACTTTAAAGTAAAACAAAATAATGGAAGAAATTTGACGCAAAATTTGATCGTGTGAACTAAAAATAAAATTCGATCAAATTTCCGTTCGACAAAACTTCTGTCGCTCTATTTTCCGTCGACGTGATTTCTTTGAAAAGAATTTCCGGATATGATAAAAGACGACTAAATTGTCATTTTGGCCGGGCTCCTTTTAACGATTAAAACTCTACAGTTGTTCGAAAATGCCGCCCACCATATAAAGAAAATGTGATACCAAGGTGGACTACCCCTTCTTTATACGCCCCTTGCAGAGGCGTATCTAAAATCTTTGGTGCAAAGGGCAAGATTCATTGTACGCTACCCCCCAACCCATTATTTTCATCCATCAAATATCTTCAAAGCTCACTTTTGCGCTCCCGCTAGTCTGGCTGCCCGGGGACATATGCCCCTTTCCCCACTAAGCAACGCCCATGGCCAGTGGCACTTACCAACCGAAAATCTGAAACACAACACATCCCCCACCCCTGCTTTTTGAAGACAGTGTCTAAGAGCGACGCTGAATCCACATATCTGATTGGCAAATTACGAAACTTTCCATGATTTAAAATGATTGGATACAACTCATTATTTGTTATCCAATATTCAGCTGCAGTTTAAGTATGAGTTCCTGAAAGATCCTGGAGTGTTCCCCATGAAAGTAATGGCATCCAACAAGAACCTCCCTCATTCAGCTAATGCCTCAGTGGACATCAACCTCCTTGAAGGAGTGGACATCGCCATCATCCAGGGACCTTTGTTTGTTCCCAGTGGAGAAGTTATCGTCTTTACCTTGGCTAACCACACAGGTTGGTGTTTAACGTGATAGGTCGGTGTTGTCGAATGTCGTCTTTACCTTGGCTAACCACACAGGTTGGTGTTTAACGTAATAGGTCGGTGTTGTCGAATGTCGTCTTTACCTTGGCTAACCACACAGCTTGGTGTTTAACGTGATAGGTCGGTGTTGTCGAATGTCGTCTTTACCTTGGCTAACCACACAGGTTGGTGTTTAATGTAATAGGTCGGTGTTGTCGAATGTCGTCTTTACCTTGGATAACCACACAGCTTGGTGTTTAACGTGATAGGTCGGTGTTGTCGATGTCGTCTTTACCTTGGCTAGCCACACAGGTTGGTGTTTAACGTGATAGGTTGGTTTTGTCGAATGTCGTCTTTACCTTGGCTAACCACACAGGTTGGTGTTTAACGTAATAGGTCAGTGTTGTTGAATGTCGTCTTTACCTTAGCTAACGACACAGGTTAGTGTTTAACGTAATAGGTCGGTTTTGTCGAATGTCGTCTTTACCTTGGCTTACCACACAGGTTGGTGTTTAACGTGATAGGTCGGTGTTGTTGAATGTCGTCTTTACCTTGGCTAACCACACAGGTTGGTGTTTAACGTGATAAGTCGGTTTTGTCGAATGTCGTCTTTACCTTGGCTAACCACACAGGTTGGTGTTTAACGTGATAGGTCGGTGTTGTCGAATGTCGTCTTTACCTTGGCGAACCACACAGGTTGGTGTTTAACGTGATAGGTCGGTGTTCACGAATGTCGTCTTTACCTTGGCTAACCACACAGGTTGGTGTTTAACGTGATAGGTCGGTGTTGTCGAATGTCGTCTTTACCTTGGCTAACCACACAGGTTGGTGTTTAACGTGACAGGTCGTCGTTGTTGAATGTCGTCTTTACCTTGGCTAACCAAACAGGTTGGTGTTTAACGTAATAGGTCGGTGTTGTCGAATGTCGTCTTTACCTTGGCTAACCACACAGGTTAGTGTTTAACGTGATAGGTCGGTGTTGTCGTATGTCGTCTTTACCTTGGCTAACCACACAGGTTTGTATTTAACGGGATAGGTCGGTTTTGTCGAATGTCGTCTTTACCTTGGCTAACCACACAAGTTGGTTTTTAACGTGATAGGTCGGTGTTGTCGAATGTCGTCTTTACCTTAGCTAACCACACAGGTTGGTGTTTAACGTGATAGGTCGGTGTTGTCGAATGTCGTCTTTACCTTAGCTAACCACACAGGTTGGTGTTTAACGTGATAGTTTGGTGTTGTCGAATGTCGTCTTTACCTTAGCTAACCACACAGGTTAGTGTTTAATGTGATAGGTCGGTGTTGTCGATTATTAAATGTAAATGTCCTGATGGGACAGGCTGCTAACTTAAAACTTAGAGATGGGTAAAAGTGACGAAAAAATTAATATCAATTTGTTTTAGTTGATGCCACGCTATGAATGTTATTTATTGATTCTTGTTATGGCTATACTTTGAATCATGGTGGCATGATGGCCCGAGTGCAGGACAACGGTCAGTCATCTCAAGCATTCCCCGTCACAACAGTGTGTAGCAGGGCTGTGTCCTTCCACTCACACTCTTCAGTAAAATGTATTCTACAATGCTGTCTAATGCATTCAAGGACTCCACCACGGGCTTGCCAATCCAGTTTCGCGATGATGGATCAGTATTCAACCTTAGGAGGCTTCAAGCTAAAACCAAGGTCAAACATACCACGATCAACGAGCTTCTGTTTGCAGACGAGTGTGCCCTAAATTGCTGTCTCAGAAGCCATCATGCAACCTAGCGTTGATATCTTCTCTGAGGCCTGCAATAACTTTGGCCTCACAATCAACACAAAGAAGACTGAGGTGATGTATAAGCCAGCTCCCACTAAGCCTTACGTTGAACTCAACATCATCATCAGCGGACAGCGTCTCAACCCGGTGGATAAATTTACTTACTTGGGCAGCAGCCTCTCCAGATCTGTCGTCATGGATGATGAAATGAATGGCCGACTCGCAAAAGCTAGTGCCATATTTGGCAGGCTCTGCAGCACTGTTTGGGACAGGAGAGGTATCAGACGAGGAACGAAGCTCAAGGTCTATAGCCTAGCAGTCCTCCCGACACTGCTTTATGGATGTGAAACGTGGACTGTCTACCAGCGTCACGCCAAGAAACTGAATCATTTTCACACTACCTGCCTCAGGAAACTCCTCGGCATCAGTTGGCAAGACAAAGTCCATGAAACAGAGGTCCTCACTAGAGTGAACCTACCTAGTATCTTCACCACCTTGATGCAGTCTCAACTCCGTTGGATGGGGCACGCAGCCCGTATGTACGACCACCTGCTCCCAAATCAGATATTCTTCTAAGAACTCAAGATAGGCAAGCGCTCCCAAGTAGGTAAAAAAAGCGTTACAAAGACTCACTGAAAGCGGCACTAAATACCTTCAGCATCAAACTACTCAATGGGTGCATATAGCCCAGGACAGAGCCAGGTGGAGAGCAGCTGCCAAGAAAGGGGCTAAATCCCATGAAGCTAATAGAATAACCCCAGCTGAGACACGAAGGTTGGCCCGAAAGAGCAACATTAGGTCGCCGTAAGCAGCAAATATCCCCTGCCCGCGGTGCCAGGGATTATTCCGAGCATGGATCGGTCTGGCAAGCCACCTACGAGCTCACCGTAACCCACCCTCCACCTAACCGGATGAGTCGATGGTTCTAGTTGATTTCGACAGGTGTTTCTTCTCTGGGGCTGCCACACTCGGCGGCCAATCGAGTGGAGGTCGAGTGTGGCGGTCTTAGGGGCGGAGCGTCCCTGGCGTGCCGCTTCGCGGCCCGATCGGAATAAAGACCACTGGGGGAGTGGTTGACGGCCGGTTTGGTTGGCGGGGTGGTGCGTTGGGGAGGACCATATGAGCCTCAAGGCTCGGTGTTCGCTGATTTTCTTAAGTTAGTTAGTTAGTTGATTTCGACGGACGAACTACAACAACACTTTGAATGTGATTTATTGTTGTTTTTTTTTTGTGGCTACACTTTGAACGTGATCAATTTAAGACATACTACTTTCCTTTATTTCAGGTTCAAATCTGAGCTATTTTTGGAACATCACGGATGGAACTCCCGACTCGTTTCACCCCAACTTGACTCACTCATTTACTAACCCAGGAACTTATGACATCAGCGTGGTCATCTTTAACATCGTCAGCGATAAATCCAACACGACGACAGTCATTGTACAGAACAAGGTAAGTCCTTCGGTCAGATTGTGGCCATTTTAGACCGATCCAGTGGTCATTTTAGACAGATCCAATGGTCATTTTAGACAGATCTATTTGTCCGTTTAGACAGATCCAGTGGTCATTTTAGACAGATCCAATTGTCATTTGAAAATTATAGAGTGGAAATTATAGACACATTCGGTTCAGGTCTCCTCTCAGAAATATTTCATGATTATTTAAACAGTTTCAGACTGACACTTTTGTAACGTCAACCATTTGTCAGTGATGTATTTCAATGTAATTTTCTATTTCAATATCATCTTTCTCTCGTCCCTTTAGATCATAGGACTGACCATGACAGTTCAAGATTCAGCTGTCAACACAGCGGTCCCGTTTACTCTTAGCCTGTCCGCTGGCACCAACTACACCTGTCAGCTAGACTACAACGACGGGACCCCTGTTTTGATCACTGACAACACCTCGATGCCTGTTGGCGCCCCTCTAAGAGTTACCCATACGTACTCTAGTACCGGGGTATACTCGGTTATTATCCTGTGTGAGAATCAAGTAAGTTTTTTCAGGATTGTACCCCGTCATTCTGTCATTCTCTTGTGTGAGAACAAGTAAGTTTTTTTCAGGATTGTACCACCTGATTGTCGTGTGTGAGAGTGAAGTAAATTTGTTCATGTTGTTTCATTATTTTAAATGTTACTGGGATTATTTAACGACAGCATTTTACTTGTAAAAATAAATGATTAAATTTTCAATCGACAACTTCAATTACAGGAATGTTGATTTGATAACAAAGTGTTAAAATGCTTATGATTGATTCTCTGGAACGTACACATAATAAACTATTGAGTTAGTACTCAGTAGAACGTACACATAATAAACTATTGAGTTAGTACTCCGTAGAATGTACACATAATAAACTATTGAGTTAGTACTCTGTAGAATGTACACATCATAAACTATTGAGCTAGCACTTTTTTGTGGTCAATTTAATTGTGTGATTGATATTCTCCAGTGACACAAGGTTTATCACCCCTTGGTGCACTGATTGCCCTTTGCCGCACTGCTTGCCCCTTGGTGCACTGCTTGCCCCTTAGTGCACTGCTTACAAATTATTAGACAATCCAACACTAACTTTTATTATAATTTAAAATTTATAACTTATTGGTTTAAAACCTATTGGTTTATAACTAATTGGTTTATAAACTGGTCCATAAATTATAGGCTAAAAAAATATTGGTTCATAAATTAGTCAATACTTATTGGTTCATAAATTGGTTCATAACTTATTTGTTCATAAATTGGTTCATAACTTATTGGTTCATAAATTGATTCATAACTTATTGGTTCATAAATTGATTCATACCTTATCGGGACAAAGATTGAAAAAGGTGGGAGGATGTAAGTGATTATACTTTGCACATTGTCCTTAGCAACGTCACGGGACCATATCAACACATTATTTTAGTTTATCGTAGAAATAGAAAATAATCGATTTCAAAATTTCGCTCAATACCTAATACTTTTATATTGTAGGTGAGCAAAGAGAACGCGACCTTTGACCTGTACATTCAGGAGCCAATCACTAACCTCGAATTGGTTCGCGAAGGTGCTCCTACCAATGAACAATTCGCCATTGGCTGGACTGTTGACTCGGGCACCGAAATTAACTTCACCGTGACATTCATCGGCCAACCCCTTAGCTTAAACCCAGCCAAGACTTCAACCTACTCATGGGAATCTCTGACCTTGCCTGGGAAATCTGCTGCTGGCTACCCACTCCAGATCACGGTAAGTGTTTTTCTTCCATCTTTATTTCAGAATAATTTTGTAGACGCTAAAGTGAAAATGACTTGGACCTTTTAATTGGTCATTTGGTGAACACTCGTCTTGAACTCTAGTCATAATATCAGACGTCTCGGGATGAAGAAATGTATAAATAAATTCAAATATTGTTGTATGGTGGTCCACTAACTGCTTGCTTGGTGGGCAACTAACTTCTTGCTTGGTGGTCCACTTACTTCTTGTATGGTGGTCCACTAACTGCTTGCTTGGTGGTCAACTAACTTCTTGCTTGGTGGTCCACTTACTTCTTGTATGGTGGTCCACTAACTGCTTGCTTGGTGGTCAACTAACTTCTTGCTTGGTGGTCCACTTACTTCTTGTATGGTGGTCCACTAACTCCATATTTGGACGTCTTGTAAAATCATCCACTAATGTCTTGTGGTCCACCAACGTCTTATACGGTGGTCCGCTAACTTCTTGTAGGGTGGTCCACTAACTTCTAGAGTCATTAACTTTGTATTGTATACCCACAACCCCCTCTAGGCGAACAACCGCATCAGTTCCGCCAACATCACCACCACTTTCATCATCATGGACAAGATTGTCAATCCTTCACTTACTGTCGACCTGACCAATGTGACCACAGATGACCTCGTGACGTTCTCTGTCAACGTACAGAAGGGATCCGATGTCAGCGTTGTCATACAATTCCAAGATGGCAGCCCCAACTATAGTTGGTACACAGACCCACCCGGAGCCACTTGGCCGGGGCCTTTGAACTTGACCCACTATTTCATTAATGGCTGTGTCTGCAATGTCAAGGCCATTATTTCCAATAAAGCAGGTCAGATAACAATGTTGAATTTCTCAATAGACAAACGTGACATTCTGCCTCTTTATATTATTGGCGGAAAAAACATGTATTCGAATATTGTAATAAAACCTAAGTATTCGAAAATTGTAATAAAAAACTATGAATTCGAATATTGTAATAAAAGCTAAGTATTCGAAAATTGTAATAAAAAACTATGAATTCGAATATTGTAATAAAAGCTAAGTATTCGAAAATTGTAATAAAAAACTATGAATTCGAATATTGTAATAAAAGCTAAGTATTCGAAAATTGTAATAAAAAACTATGAATTCGAATATTGTAATAAAAGCTAAGTATTCGAAAATTGTAATAAAAAACTATGAATTCCATTAAAATATTTATTTTTAAAACTCAGCCATTTCCGAACATGAAAAGTATTCATGGATGCGGGCAAACATTCCGTAGTGACTACACTGATGCCATTGCACATCTACAGCAAACATTTGATGACATGTTTGTTTGTTTGTTTGTTTGGTGTTTTTACTTCAAAGCACACAGAGCACCTTTTCAACTTGTTGCTGCTCCTTTCTCTTTTAATGTGGAAGATGCGCCCGTAACCCACCCCCCACCCCCCCCCACCCCCACTTGCGTTTAAAAAGGAGCTGATTGGTCTTCAGTGCAATTCTAAGTTCAGAGACTGAAAGGAGAAACAGACAAGCATGTTAAATTTATGAGAGCAGTGCCCTCCACCTTCACTGAGATCTCCAGGTTGCTCAATCGGATTATGTGCCTCTTTGGGAGTACCTTTCTGTGTGAAAATCTCTTTTCCCACTATCAAAGTAAACAAGTCAAAGTTCAAGGCCAAACTTACTGATGAGCATCTTCAAGCTATACTGAGGGTCTCCGTTGCTTCTCACTCAGGCGAAATGTTGCTCAGCTGTGTAAGAAGAAGCGCTTCCAGGTCTCTGGCAACGAACAGTAGGAGGAAGAAAGTGATGCCGAGTTCTTGAGAGCCCTTTATGCTTTATTTTGTTATTAATAAAGGTCCAGCAGATTGTAACAGGTGCACTTTATGGAATTTGTACTCGCTTTTGCTTTACTTGATGCGGCCCAGTCTCACTCAGACTCTACCTCCTGCGGCCCAGTCTCACTCAGACTCTACCTCCTGCAGCCCAGTCTCACTCAGACTCTACCTCCTGCGGCCCAGTCTCACTCAGACTCTACCTCCTGCGGCCCAGTCTCACTCAGACTCTACCTCCTGCGGCACCCGGATGATTTGAGTTTGAGACCCGTGATCTAAATCAAGAACTCTGCGCTGAATAAAGAATATTGATTTATTACAAATACCACAATACAACTAAAATTTTACTTCAATATTACTTCAATATTACTGCAATATTACTAAAATATTACTACAATATTACTACAATATTACAACAATATTACTACAATATTACTACAATATTACTACAATATTATTATTATTGTTCGTCCGTCGAGGATCGACGAGGACCATCGAGTCGTCTGGTGACTGATGACTTGCGCGGATGACTTTGTTTAAAGTGAAGAAGAGTTGCGCGGCGTCTACCTCACTCTCTCGTCCGAGCCCACCATATCCAGTGGCAAGACTCTACGGCAACACGACCAGGGATGGGTTCGGTTTCAGGAATTGTCATTGTTTGCGCCCAATGGGACTCCAACTCCGGGTTTGAATTCAGAGTTTCCTTCTCTTTGATGAGTTGCCGACCAAGGTTAACGAGTCTTATCCACCCGGGGTGATGTTTTTACTACAATATTACTACAATAAAACTACAATAATACTACAATATTACTACAATAAAACTACAATAATACTACAATATCACTACAATAAAACTACAATAATACTACAATATTACTACAATAAAACTACAATAATACTACAATATTACTACAATAAAACTACAATAATACTACAATATTACTACAATATTACTACAATATTACTGCAATATTACTACAATAATACTACAACATTACTACAATATTACTACATTATTACTACAATATTATTACAATATTACTACAATATTACTACAATATTACTACAATATTCTAGGGTTTAACATCACGTCACCTCAAACACTAATACTCACCAAATATCACCTTTATTCTTCCCATTATTACCTTGATCCCAGCCGATATTACCTTGACCCCACCCATTATTACCTTGATCCCACCCATTATTACCTTGATCCCAGCCGATATTACCTTGATCCCACTCATTATTATCTTGATCCCCACCATTATTACCTTGATCCCAACCATTATTACCTTGATCCCAGCCGATATTACCTTGATCCCACCCATTATTACCTTGATCCCACCCATTATTACCTTGATCCCAACCATTATTACATTGATCCCAGCCGATATTACCTTGATCCCACCCATTATTACCTTGATCCCACCCATTATTACCTTGATCCCAGCCGATATTACCTTGATCCCACTCATTATTATCTTGATCCCAACCATTATTACCTTGATCCCAACCATTATTACCTTGATCCCAGCCGATATTACCTTGATCCCACCCATTATTACCTTGATCCCACCCATTATTACCTTGATCCCAACCATTATTACATTGATCCCAGCCGATATTACCTTGATCCCACCCATTATTACCTTGATCCCACCCATTATTACCTTGATCCCAGCCGATATTACCTTGATCCCACTCATTATTATCTTGATCCCAACCATTATTACCTTGATCCCAGCCGATATTACCTTGATCCCACCCATTATTACCTTGATCCCAACCATTATTACCTTGATCCCAGCCGATATTACCTTGATCCCACTCATTATTATCTTGATCCCAACCATTATTACCTTGATCCCAGCCGATATTACCTTGATCCCACCCATTATTACCTTGATCCCAACCATTATTACCTTGATCCCAGCCGATATTACCTTGATCCCACTCATTATTATCTTGATCCCAACCATTATTACCTTGATCCCAGCCGATATTACCTTGATCCCACCCATTATTACCTTGATCCCAACCATTATTACCTTGATCCCAGCCGATATTACCTTGATCCCACTCATTATTATCTTGATCCCACCCATTATTACCTTGATCCCACCCATTATTACCTTGATCCCACCCATTATTACCTCGTCCCAGCCGATATTACCTTTATACCACCCATTATTACCTTGATCCCAGCCGACATTACCTTGATCCCAGCTGATATTACCTTGATCCCACTCATTATTACCTTGATCCCAGCCGACATTACCTTGATCCCAGCTGATATTACCTTGATCCCAGCCAATGTTCTCCTCACCTAGGATCCTTTGAGCGGTATGTCGATGTCCTCGTCAAGGTTGGGTTCAGCACGATATCATGGAGCTTGCCGGATGAAGCATTCTACCTGTACAACCCACCTGCCTATGTTGAGTTTATGTTCACATCCACCACGAACTCGACCCCAACTAACCCAACGGTCACTGTTGACTGGGGAGATGGCCTGCAGCCTAAAACCGAAAATTTTGTACGTTTCGGATCACCTGGATACAGGTAAGGTCTGAGTCATCTGGATACAGGTAAGGTCAGGTTCACCTGGATGCAATCATTAAGGTCAATATCACCTGGATACAGGTAAGGTGGGGGTTGTAAAATTGTTAAGTTCATAGAATCGTATCAAGTTCCCAAATTTCCCCACTAAAACCTTTTGATGGGACTGCATTTAATCGCGCCAAGCATGAACTTAATAAAGCAACTCAATGAAGTAACTCATAAACTAACTCAATAAAGGAACTCAAGGAAGTAAATAAGTAAAGTAACTCAATGAAGTAAATCAGTAAAGTAACTCAATGAAGTAAATCAGTAAAGTAACTCAATGAAGTGAATCAGTAAAGTAATTCAATGAAGTAAATCAGTAAAGTAACTCAAGGAAGTTAATCAAAAAGTAACGCAATGAAGTAAATCAGTAAAGTAACTCAATGAAGTAAATCAGTAAAGTAAATCAATGAAGTAAATCAGTAAAGTAACTCAATGAAGTAAATCAGTAAAGTAACTCAATGAAGTAAATCAGTAAAGTAACTCAATGAAGTAAATCGGTAAAGTAACTCAATGAAATAATATAATGAAGTAACTCAATGAAGTAACTCAGTGATGTAACTCATTAAGGAACTCAATGAAGGAATTTGATTTTGTACTTTAGTGTACAGCCTTTATGACAGAGTTTGCCATGTTTGATTTTGTACTTTAGTGTACAGCCTCTATGACAGAGTTTGACATTTTGATCTTGTTTGATTTTCACATTTGATCTCATTTGGCATCATTTCCATCTTGAGCTTGGAGACTATCTTTGTGCAGTGTCTCTATGACTCAAAGCTATGTCTCTGGACATAAATGTCGCATCTCTTAATAAATGTTACATGTCCAATTTTACTTTTTCAACTGTTACATGTCCAATTTTACTTTTTCAACTGTTACATGTCCAATTTTACTTTTTCAACTGTTACATGTCCAATTTTACTTTGTCAACAGTTACATGTCCAATTTTACTTTTTCAACTGTTACATGTCCAATTTTACTTTTTCAACTGTTACATGTCCAATTTTACTTTTTCAACTGTTACATGTCCAATTTTACTTTGTCAACAGTTACATGTCCAATTTTACTTTTTCAACTGTTACATGTCCAATTTTACTTTTTCAACTGTTACATGTCCAATTTTACTTTTTCAACTGTTACATGTCCAATTTTACTTTGTCAACAGTTACATGTCCAATTTTACTTTTTCAACTGTTACATGTCCAATTTTACTTTTTCAACTGTTACATGTCCAATTTTACTTTGTCAACAGTTACATGTCCAATGTTACTTTTTTGTCAACTGTTACATGTCCAATGCTACGTTTCCAGCCACCAGTTTGACGATACCTTGGATTACATCATCACGGTCACCATGTCAAATGTGCTTGGATCAAGGACGTTCAAACACAAGGCCATAGTAGTGGAGAAGCTGGTCGAACCATTGATAGACCTGGAGTTCCCCAGTGCACCCCTTGGAGAACCGTTCAACCTCACATTCAAGCTCTTTCGTGGGGACCAGGACAACTACACAACTCTTCATTGGGACCTAGGAGATGGTTCAGCTGTGAGAATCACTGACAGACACGGTAAGATTGTAAACTTTGTCTTGTGTGATATCTATTTACAGCTACTTTGATTCACTTGTGAAAACTACTGATAGACAGGGTGAGACTTAAACCTTCGTCTCATGTGAGAACCACTGAGAAAGTATGATGAGTCGATTAGGGAAGAACTATTTGCCATTATTTAACATTTGCACTTTAATCACCCATTACATTACAAATAATGCCCTTCCATCACCCATTACTTTACAAATGATGTACTTCTGTCTCCAAGTACATTACAACGAATGCACTACCATCTCCCATTACAATTCAAATGAAGCAATTCTGACTCTAATTACATTATATATAATGAATGTCCATATCCAAATACATTACAAATAATGCACTTCCGTCTCCAATTAATTTACAAATGATGCAGTTCCATCTCCCATTACATTACAAATGATGCACTTTAGTCTCCCATTACATTACAATCGATGAACTTCTATTTCCTATTTCATTACAAAATGATGCACTTCCATCTCCCATCACATTACAAATGGTGCGCTTCTGTCTTGTACTACATTACAAAGCTTTGAAGAAGCTCTTCTGTGTTACCAAGCTCATCAATACATCTGTGGGTTGTTTCAGGTGAAGGTAAATATGCCGGTGACAACGAAACTGTCACATACACCACCAAGCGAATAGTAACTGTCAACGTGACAGCCACAGCTCCTTTAAACCAGACAGTTTCAGCCAGTAGAAGCTTTGACGTCATTGATCCTGTGTTAGACAGCTACGTCACTGTCACAGCTACACCAAGTGTCCCATTGGGAAGTAAGTAAGCAGACAATACTATGACATTACCTGTGGTAGTTAGCTACATCAAGTGTCCCATTGGGAAGTAAGTAAGCAGACAGTACTAAGACGTGACCTGTGTTGGACAGCTACATCAAGTGTCACATTGGGAAGTAAGTAAGCAGACAGTATTAAGACGTGACCTGTGTTGGACAGCTACACCAAGTGCCCCATTGGGAAGTAAGCATTCAATAGTATAACTTGACCTGCATGACTAGCTATGACACATTTGATTTGTATTAAAACCATATTAAGTATTGGCAAGCAATTCAAAATATACTGACTAACAATTTGTGGAAATACTGATCATCGATTTTAATTCTTGGAAATAACTTGAAACATTTTGACAAAATGTCATGGACCTCACTCTACTAGGGGTCAACACGCTTTTAGGAGGCCCACTCTTTTAGAGACATCATCCAGCACATAGTGTTAATGAATATTGAACGATTTTGGCAATTCAATTTGATGTAAAATACAGTGGCAGCACGTTCCCTCAAAATTAGTTTATCCAGTTTTTAAAGACGTTTGTTTTTAAAATTCTCAAATGATGTGAGTGACATTTGACATGTGAGTGACATTTGACATGTGAGTGACCTCATTTTAATTATTTGGCACTCAGTGACGTACCGTAGCTAGGGGGTGTGCACCGTACCGGGTGACACCATCGCAGGAGGGTGGCACCAAATTGAAAAATTGCCTATTTACAGAGCACACATTGCTCGGTCTGACCCAAATTTCATAAAAGGATCACCGATCACGCGTACATTGACCACACATGTAGCCAATCCAAACGCGTGCTTTATTAAAAGTTCAAGGCTGGTCTGTCGGAAATGAGGTTGCCCTATAATTAATTCAGAATATAAAACCCGTTTTGAACATGATTTAGCGCTGATTGAAGTGTTTGGTAACTTTTGTAAGTGACAGGAAATTATAAATATATAGATCTCAATCCTGGGAACTAAAGCCTTCCATTGACATCAAATGCGATGTGGTCGGGCGATTCTAAGGACATGAATCAAAACGGTAAACATTAAAAACATTTTCAAAGGGACTTTTTAACAATTTATAGGGATATTTTACACTATTTTTTTATATATACATTTTAATAATTAATTTAAATATATTTAAATTTTAAAAAAGAAGTTTTGAAACCAAATATATCGAAACACAGAAACGCTTAAAAATTAATATTTTCGCCGATTCGTCACTAGCAAAGCCTCTTAACATTTGAGCATGATTGTTATACAGCACATGGTCTTTACAAGCAATTTGGTCATTTCAAGTTTATGAACTAACTTTACATTTGGTTAATGCAGCAGTAGATGTTGACTGAATGCTTTACTTTGGACAAAGTGGTGACCAACCTAGAGGCCTTGATTGTTTCTGCATGAGGGGCGCTATCACTTGGTAGAACATGTTATTGAAAAGGCAATTTTAAAATCAGACCAATAGAGAATTTCTTTAGAGAGAAGATTAAGTTTTAAGAAGAGAATGGCAGTGGAGCAAATGATCGATGCTGGACTCTCTCAGCGAGAAGAAAACAGTATTATGATGAATGAATGTACCATTCGTTCGCTTTTATTCTAAACTCCAGATCAGATCATCAGCAACTAAGGAAGTAACAGATATTTTTGGGGGTGTTCAACTCAAGAGTCTACTATCAGAAATTGAAGAATAGTTATTGGTTCCTTTCCAAAATTAACCGCTTTCTATGACGAGTTATCAGAAGATAAACTTTTGGAAGAAATATCAATGCTCGGCACTACTAAAGGCTGCTGAGACTGAATGTCGCAAAATCATGGACTGATTAGTAGTTGTTGTTTTGAAATGTATAGCTGAATAGGACTTCCTCTAATTTCTTCCAATGCTCTCGCTAAGCCTTCAATTGTTTCTTACGATCTGACTTTATGTGGCTTCGTGTGAACGGAGCGTTTCAAAACTAAAGCTTAGCAAGAACTATTTACGATCCACCATGGGACAGTCAAGCAGTCAAGGCTTTCTGGTCTGGCCCTACTATTAATTCAATGTGATACAGTGAAGGCTATTGATTTTGATTGACATGTTTGGAGCTTTGAAGATCAGGAAATGAACATTTTAAATAAAGTAAACTTAACATAAAGATAATTATAAATTAACATTGTTAAAGTTCTTAAATACATTGACCTCCTGAACTTTATCTTTTTTTTTTTTGTTTGTTGTCATTGTTATGCTGTGGACTACTGATAAAAAGAAGAACTCCACAGTAGAATTAGGGGAGTTGGGGGGGGGTGGGGGGGTGTGAATTTTAAATAAAGTAAACTTAACATAAAGATAATTATAAATTAACATTGTTAAAGTTCTTAAATACATTGACCTCCTGAACTTTATCTTTTTTTTTTTTTTTTGTTGTCATTGTTATGCTGTGGACTACTGATAAAAAGAAGAACTCCACAGTAGAATTAGGGGAGTTGGGGGGGGGGTGGGGGGGTGTGACACCATGAGTTACCGTACTGAGTGACACACACCCTAGCAACGACCCTGTTTTCACTAACTACAGAAAAATTATCATTTGATAAATTATCGATTTGAAACAAATACATTAATTATTTTCTTGGTGTGGAGTTGGGGAAGGAGTACATCAAAGAGTCTTACAAAAGGCGGAAAACGATCATTCTTTAGAAATTTAAATGAAGTAAGTTATAATAGTTAGAAAGTTCAAATAACTTTTTAAGTTAATGCCTTCGTTGGCGAATTTGTGCTGTCTCATTTTCCTTAAGATAAATCACATATTAATAAATAAATATGTGACGTCTTTTGTCAAAATTTCCTTACGTCTCTTTTATACATTGAGATATAAAATGATAAATGTTATACTAATTTGTAACAACCGTGGGAATGATGACGATGTTACTTGTAAATATAGATGTAATGTTAATGAACCACACTCACAAAGCACTTTTTCTAGAGATTGAACCTTGTCTAGAAATTGAACCTTGTCTAGAAATTGAACCTTGTCTAGAAATTGAACCTTGTCTAGAAATTGAACCTTGTCTAGAAATTGAACCTTGTCTAGAAATTGAACCTTGTCTAGAAATTGAACCTTGTCTAGAATTGGACCTTGTCTAGAAATTGGACCTTGTCTAGAAATTGAACCTTGTCTAGAAATTGAACCTTGTCTAGAAATTGAACCTTGTCTAGAAAGTGAACCTTGTCTAGAAATTGAACCTTGTCTAGAATTTGAACCTTGTCTAGAAATTGGACCTTGTCTAGAAATTTGACCTTGTCTAGAAATTGAACCTTGTCTAGAAATTGAACCTTGTCTAGAAATTGAACCTTGTCTAGAAATTTAACCTTGTCTAGAAATTGAACCTTGTCTAGAAATTGAACCTTGTCTAGAAATTGAACCTTGTCTAGAAATTGAACCTTGTCTAGAAATTGAACCTTGTCTAGAAATTGGACCTTGTCTAGAAATTGGACCTTGTCTAGAAATTGAACCCTGTCTAGAAATTGAACCTTGTCTAGAAATTGAACCTTGTCTAGAAATTGAACCTTGTCTAGAAATTGAACCTTGTCTAGAAATTGAACCTTGCCTAGAAATTGAACCTTGTCTAGAAATTGAACCTTGTCTAGAAATTGAACCTTGTCTAGAAATTGAACCTTGTCTAGAAACGTGCGTGTGAGCCCCCTAATCTCATCCACAACTTTTAAATAACGATCACATGATATGGTTCATAAACAAGGACGAGAACATTCTTCATCCACACTAGGCATAAGGGGTCATTCACAAGCAAATTACGTCACGCTCAGGGTGGGAGGGGGGTGAGAATTGGGGACACTTGTGACGGGGGTGGGGGTCCAAAATGTGTGACGTCAAAAAAAATTAACTTTCTAATTTTGAAAAAATCTTAATTCATTAAAAAAATTAATTTGAGGTCAAAATTTCCTCTGGTATTATAGTTACTGTGAAAGTCAGTCGCGCACACCTTCGGCGCATATTGAAAATGACGCAAAAAAAAAAAATGTTGTTGTCATTTTACATTCGGCTCGTGGATGACTTGGTTATTTTGAGTTTTACGTCACAGTTTTCTAATAATACAACATCGTAATCCATTATGGGTAAATGTTAAAGAATAAAATAAAATCTTAGTTATAGGACTTATAGGACGAATCTTAGTTATGAAAATTTTATGTTTTGAATTATTTTTAGGTGTGACGTGGCAGTAAAAGTGGGGGGGGGGGGATAATTTTTTATACTTGCGATTGTGGGGGAGGGGGGTCTGGAAAAGGACAATTTGTGCGTGACGTCATTTGCGAAAGATCCCTAACCAACTCGAGCCTGTGTGGTATAGCGTAGCACCAATTGACTTGGTGACGACACAAACCAAGAGAGGCGATAGACGCCAGCAGCACGCGGACCGTAACACTGTTGTGGATATGACGTGTGTATGGGAATTATGAGGTGTGTGGAAATATGACATGTTTATGTGAGTGGAATCGTTGACATGTTTTTGTCATTGTTGACATGTGTGTGAGGGTATGACATCTGTGTCGGAATGTGACATATGTGTCGGAATGTGACACATGTGTTGTAATGTGACATATTTGTTGGAATGTGACATATTATGTGTTGGAATGTGACATATGTGTGTATTTATTTCAGGTCCAACTACGTTTACGATCACATACTCGGGTGTGCCATTCCCTACAAGTCCTGACGTTGTTGTCGTCAACTGTTACGGGGATGGGACCGTGCTTAGTACAAAAACCCTAACACCAACAACCACCATGACCTACACATACCCAACAGATGGGGACCACTGTGCAAAGGTCACCGTAAGGAATGATGCATCAAGGGTTGACAGAATTGTTACGGTAAGATTAAACTACTGAAGTATTTGAGATTAATCAACTTAACTTACGTCTATGAGATTAAACACTTAACTTTAGCCTGTGAGATTAAACTAGTTAATCTCATGAAATTAAACAACTTAAGACTATGACTATG